TTTACAACCTTGTGACTTTTTGTCAGTTTGTGAAGTCCGTCTTGGGCCGGTAGAAAACGTGGCCTTATCAGTGGAGCATTCAATTCACTAAGAATAAACCATCCAGTCACACTTTGTTGCAGTCAACTATAATGAGATGAACTGTAGTTTCCACGCATACATGAAACAGCCATGCTTACACCGTGATGACCCGTCTGTCAACTCAGCGTTTTGAACGCACATACAATGCACTATCTCTATGATCTGTCCCGACCCATGACTGTTAAAACAGAGTTCGGAAAGTGGTCTTTTTCTCTATCATGTTCTACTCTGTGCAGTTACTTCATTATCCCTTTCTGTTCCCTTTGCTAGCAGAACATTCCCAATAATGCCTAATATACTTTCCCAATACATTACTTTCAAAGTTGTTACGTGTGCAGTGGAGGTAATCACTGCAACGTCAGATATATTTTTTTAATGACTAAATCTACAAAGTTTAAAAACACATTAGCTAATTTATATATAGGATTCAGTGGTAAATTACGCACATTTGAAAGAGTTAAGTCCCTCCTCCCCACAGCATAAAGTCTGGACAGTAGTTTAGAGACGTGTTGCTCATGCAACAAGATCCCTTTCTCTGAGACCTAGTTAACTCCAAAGGTAACAACATTTGTGTGGAGCACAGCTGTCAAAGACCTAATTTACTCTATCTAATTTGTATGGCTCGCTAGGTAGGCCAGCTGACAGACTTAACTACCCAGACACACTTAGGACAATACTCCAGCTGAGTACAAACATAATCTTTAATGAACAATGAACAACACGACGTTAAACACTTCAACTGAGCTAAGCAGTTCCCATCCTAAACCCCCTTGGCGATGACAGCTTTACAATTCACTAATCAACCCAGGCCAGTTCCCATGGATCTATAAGGAACACGACTCTTGGCTGACAGTTTCTCAGTGCTAATTAAGTCGCCGTCTATTGCCACACGGGACTCAGCGATGCACGTAAGGTGTATGGCCTAAGCGTGACTGGGCAGTGTTACAATGCGCGTCACACCTTGATTAACTGCTTAAACAAATACTGCATGGAATGTCTACTATACAAAGAACATTAACTCTATACTATCTAGTTGAAACATTAAATAGAAACACAGCCTATCATCGATACTAAATACACATATCCTATTACAACTAACCGTCACTAAACCTAACGTTACCTAGTCAAAATGTCTGTTTTCTTGTCCTGTCCCAGCACACGACCCCCCTTCAACCAGCTCGGACAAAGCCTTTTGTATCTCGGGCCTGAGTTCACGGCTTGACACGCAGCAATCCGTGTCACCTGAGTGAACTAGGCCTGGCCAGTTAACTGGACCCAGTTTATTGTGTGATCAAGCTGTCCGCTCTCATACTGAGTTGTACTGAAGGTCAACTCGTTCAAACGTGATGATTCACTATCATCCTTCCCATAGCCGAACTGGCCTCTGACAACAGCATTTGCAGAAGCTGTTGGATTAGAAGAATCGTGCTCTGCCCGCCTCTAAGAGCTACCACTCCTAGATCAATTGCCAGTGGCCTTTCTAGGTCTGGTGGTACCTGATGCGGAAACTTACCAGTCACCCTCACCCCTTTTCTACGTTACGTCCAGCTACCGCCAACCATGACTAAGGACTGGTCTGCCCTGCCATAACATGAAGTTTTCTAGTTGCAATCCCTAGTCCTAGTACATTTAAAAGTATCCTTTGCCATGGCCTGAGCCACCCAAGACTTTATATGAGATGTCTCAAGTAGGATGTCAGGTTTGGTATATGCTGCCCCAACATTCAGCATTAACATAGAATACGAAGTAACAATTACTTTCTCTTATGGCACCTCAGCCCATAGCTGACGCAAGTCATATCAGCTCAGTCATACCACACCAGGACCTGACTGAAAGAAACCTGACTGCCCCAGCAGTAAAGCAAAGGAAACCACAGTCAAGACACCTTGTTTTCTTCGTGATCTGCCATCAGAATGCCTTGGGGGAACACTTTGGATAAGTCCTCTCAAGTTGAATGTGTAGTGAGATTTGGCCGGGGTTTGGTAACATCTTCTTCTGGACCATGCTGTACATACTGATGCCTGCTGGAGGTGACCAGCTGGTCGCAGTGGGAGACTATAGATGGACAATTACCTGCAAAAAATTATGCTCAATTATTTCAGCTAAGTAGC